AACCAGAGCTGTGGATCCAGCTGCTGCCAGCCCTGCTGCCGCCCAGCCTGCTGTGAGACCACCTGCTGCAGGACCACCTGCTGCCAGCCCACCTGTGTGTCCAGCTGCTGCCAGCCTTCTTGCTGCTGATCAACTCCCAAGAAAACCACCATCCTCACACAACAGCCTTCTGCTCAACTGACTTATCTTTTGGGGAACTAATTTACTTTGCTGCTGACCGCCACCATGCTCTCACCCAAATTTTTATGAATTCTCTCCATGTTTAAAATCTTTTGAATCAGCTTGAGGGAAGGCAGAGTACTTCATCCTGATTCTGTTTTTCCTTACACCTTGTGGATCATGTGCCAGGTTTCTGTGTCTTCAGTTTGGAGTCATGGTCTCAGCTTTGACTCTAAAGTCAAGAGCTTCATTCTCTGCTTCTCAGAAATTTAGGTTTCTGCAACTGATCCATAATCTTTGCAGTTATAATTTTGTCTTCAATATCCTCCTCATTGTTCTTGTATCTTTCTTTCTTCTTTTCATGATAACTTTGGGTCATGTTCCTGGTAGCAGAGATTCTTGCCTACATGTTTCTGAATAAACTCTGAACCATCCTCATCTCATATGGTGTTTTGTTTTATTTTAAAGCATTCCTGATATGGGATTTACACACATATAACATACCATATGTATTATTTAATTTGATCCTCAGAACAGATGGTCATGGATTATTACCTTCATTTTTCAGCTGAGAACAATTTAATATGTGATATTATGTAGCAATAATGGACAGACTCAGCTGGGCATGGTGGCTCACCCCTGTAATCTCAGCACTTTGGGAGACTGAGGGGGGTGGATCACAAGGTCAGGAGTTCAAGACCAGCCTGGCCAAGACGGTGAAACCCCATCTCCACTAAAAACAAAAAAATCAGCTGGGCGTGGTGGTGGGTGCCTGGAATCCCAGCTACTCAGGAGGCTTAGGCAGAGTATTGTTTGAACTCAGGAGACAGAGGTTGCAGTGAGCCAGGATTGTGCCACTTCATTCCAGCCTGGGTGGCAAAGCAAGACTCCATCTCAAAAAGAAAAAAAGAAAAAAAAAACCGAAGGACAGAGTCTGATCCAAGATGAGGTCCTCTCCTTCTGTCCAAGGACAATTACATTTAACTCTCAATAAGGTAGAAATGACCTTGAAAGTCAGCACTAGCAAGACATGCACTGGAGTTTGCTTAACAGTAAGAGGAATAATCCTTCATATTTGCAGATAACATTTTTGTTCACAAAAGTATTCCCAAATTCATTTCCCACTCTCCAGTGAGCAACTGCTACATGATATGGCAGCAGGGACTGCATTTAATAGCTGCCCTGAATCTGGGGACCTCTTTTTGTCTCAGCCTCTGATGAGCCATTCATTCAATTCATCTACATCAAAAAATGCTTGAGAATTCATTGTGTCCTCATGAGAGAGAGTCTTATCTGAAGGGACTTATTCTTGGTATCATGTAAATAAAATTCTTATATGGCCCCCATCTCCTGAATATCTATTGAAAAAGTAAATAAAACTAAGTTATTCCTTGTAAAATACAGACCATACATTATGCCACATGAAGAGTATCTGTCCACTAATTGAAATGTTACAAGAAAAATTAAGTAAAAACAAAGCTGGGAATTGAGAAACTACGCAATGGACATGTAAGACTTGGCACAATCCATAATCTCTGAGCCAAGGAAGGGAATAAAACAACCGTCTGCATTTTGTGAGGCCAACATGAAGCATCCAAAGAAACTAAAATCTTGTGTTTTCAGGGAAATCAGAAGAATGTAAGAAAGGAGAAAAGTAGAACTTGTGCATTCTTAGAAACCATGATAGACAGAGATTGGTGCTTTTGGTCCTGAGCTGATGCAAGCTAAGCATTCACTTATGGAAGGATTGATTAATCATGGCTCTGAGAGAAATAGAAAAGTCGGGGATCTGGGTCACCTTCTTGGGACCTCCTACCAGCATGGGAGTGGTAGAAATATATCTGATGAGCTACCAATGTAGATTTCCATGACAGATGCCAGCTTCTGATACTGCGAATCTAGAATGCTCTGAAGACTTGGCTAACAGACAAAGGCCAGTTACTGTGATCAACGTTCAGTGATGAAGTAAAGGAGATGAAAACTAGGCTATTCTCTTTGATTAACATTAGCTACGCAAGATGAATAAGCTCAGCATGTCTACTGTACGGTAATGTGACTATAGTTAAAAATACTTTATCATGTACCTGAAATTTGCTGAGAAGGTATATCTTCAATGTTCACACCATAAAAATAAAAAGGAAATGGTAACCACGTGAGCTAATAAAGATGTCATTCACAATGAATATATATATCAGAGCATCACCTTGTGTACCTGAAATATGAATAATTTTTATTTGTCAATTATTCCTCAGTATAGCTAGGAAAAAAGTATTTAGTTGATCTGTTAACTATTATAAAAATATCCTTATCTTCAACATTGAAATTAGGAATTTTCTGAACAAAAAACACGAATATATTCTGGGTTGCCTACACTATGATGCATATTTGCTAAATGCTTTGTGTACATTAATTTTTTAGCAAACTTTCAAAATAGGTATTAATGTTCTCATCGTAGAGATGAGACAACTGAGGCTAAGAGAGTTAACACAATGTCGTAGTTTAGTTTCTCTCAGAAGAGACACTGAGGAAAAGATTCTAGTGAAAGTAGTTCATTGGGAAGTGCAGTTTACACTGGTAGGGATTGAGGAAGTGATACAGAAAATGGTACACTATTAAGCCAGTATCACGCTGACCAACTAAAGCTTAAACTAAAGGGAAAACTATCAGAGATGATGAAAAAGACACAGCTAGAATTATCCTACTTCAGGAATGAGGAAGCTACAGTCTTCATAAATCAGCACTCCAGAATCATTGGTTGAGTGTTTTTCTGTGTGTGTCATGCACAGGTAACATGGCTTTCTACAGCTGCAATTCAAGAGTCCTTAGGCACAGAGATGCAGATTCTGGCAGATGGAAATTAGTCCAAGCACAATAAGATCCAAGTTATATGGGTGCAGTCATGAAAACTTTTCTACAACCTACAATTAGCTCCACTCAAGTCAAATCTTTGCTGCTTAAATGTCATGCACAGCCACAAACTCTAGAAGAAGGAAAAAGAGGAGGAGAGGAAGAGGAGAAAGAGAAGGGATAGAAGATGAGAGAAGGAAAGACAAAAGAAAAAAGAAAGAGAGAGAAAAAAGAGGAAGAAAGAGAGAGAGAGAAAGCAAGCAAGAAAGAGAGAGAGAGAGGAAGAGAGGGAGAAGGAAGGAAGGAGGAAGGGAGGGAGGGAGGAAAGAAAAAGTAAGTATATCAGAGGAAAAAAGGAAGGAAGGAGAAAAGGAAAAGAAAGGAGAGGAAGTAAGATACAAAATGAAGGTCAGTGAAATAAGCGACACTTACTGCTGCTATTTGCACCCGAGATTTGTGAACTCCATTAATTACCACCAGTTCTCTTCTCCCTTCACCCCTGGCCAGCACTCCTGTTGGTCTAGATGACTGCCTGATGGAATACCTCAGAACTTCCTTCCTGAAACATCTGAGCCTCTAGTTACTATACCATTGTCCACTGTGATTCCTGTTTTTACTCATTTGTGGTTATTACTGGGCACAGACACACTATGAGATTCTCCAGTGTTATGGACTAATTTGTGTCCCCCAAAGTTCATATTCAAATAGAACCATTTTAAATATTATGTAATGAAAAAGCTCATATTGGAAACAATCGGGCCTGTGATTAAATATGACTGATGTCTACTTAAAAGGGGGAAATTCAGAGACAGTATGCAGACAGTAGAAAAATTATGTCAAACATACATGGAAATGATAGACATCTACAAGTCAAGGAGAGAGAGCTGGAATTTCCCTCATAGGCTTCAGATGAAAACAACATTCCCTGACACATACACATCGTGGAATATTATGCAGCCATAAAAAAGATGACTTCATGTCTTTTGCAGGGACATGGATAAAGCTGGAAACCATCATTCTTAGCAAAATAACACAAGAACAGAAAACCAAATACTGACTGTTCTCACTCATTCATGGAAGTTGAACAATGAGAACAGATGGACACAGGGAGGGGAACATCACACACGAGGACCTGTCGGGGGGTAGGAGGGGTAGGGGAGAGATAGCATTAGGAGAAATACCTAATGTAGATAACGGGTTAATGGGTGCAGCAAACAACCATGATATGTGTATACCTATGTACCAAACCTGCACACTCTGAACTTGTACCCCACAACTTAAAGTATAATTTTTAAAAAAAAAATTAAAGAAAGGAAACAACGTGGCCAACACCTTAATTTTAGACTAGTAGCCTTCAGGACTGTGACAAAACAAATTTAAGTCACTTGGTTTGCAGTAATTTGTTTACGGCAGTGCCAGTAAATTAATATACTCAGTAAATCTCCTGAGCTATATTCTCCTACAGTAGGTGGCTGGAGGATAATTGCTCCTCACCAAATAGTAACTCCCTTCTCTGTCTGCTGGTCTGCTGACATGAAGAGTCCAAAATGACTAAGCAATAACGATTACTTTTGATTATGCCAAAGAAGTAGAGAAGCAAATACCATAATTTTTATTCACATGAAAATTTTAAAAAGCTAAAATTTACCTAATGGATTACAACTTGCCAGAGTGATTAGCTGTTTTTGGGAATGAGTAAGAGAATATAATTGGGAGAGAAGGGAATTAATTTCTATTACCTAACCTCGTAATGGGGACATAGGTGTGTTTACAACATAATGTTATATCAAGTTAGAAATTAATAATTTGCATTCTTCGGAAATGAATGGTATACCTAAAAAATGTTTTAAACATGTCAGAACTCCAAGATGAATCAGGTATCATCTCAACTCATCTAATTCCTTCATTCAAAGGAAATAGAGAGAGAGAGAAGAAATAACACTTCCTATGCCAGTAACCAGGGTTAGGGCTAGAACCACAGCTCATGCCGGTTGGCCTGAATCTAAAGCAGTTATGTCATAGAAAGTGCTGCATTCTCATTCTGGTAATCCCCACACTGGCAGACAAGTCAGAATGAATGGTCACCCCAGGGCATAGATTGCTTGATGCTGCCAAAATCCCAGTGGATTTCTCTTTGCATCCACCTACGCTCGATCGACCCTGCCACATACAGGGAACACACTGTGCCAGGCACCCTCTTCCCAAGTGACGTTCACAGAATCCAAAGACACGGGTGGTATAGGTTGCAGAGAGATGCCTGTTAGTCTTGAATTAGAATTTGGCTGGTGAATAGTCTTGGGCCCAGGCATGGATTCATTTTGTCCCTGTAAATATAATGGCATCGTGCTTCTCCCCACTGACACTGCCCAGTCTACACACAGCCAAACGTGAGGCTGGGCGAGAGAACTTCATGAGCCTTCCTGGTCACCCGGAACTATCACATGACAAGATGATGGTCAGAGCAAGAATGATGCTGATGATGAGACCTCATTCCTTTTATCTGAAACAACATTTCCATGGATAATTCACAATTAAGAAACAGATTAAATCCTTACTTTCAAAAGATTCATAAGAGTTCAGAAACAACTTCCCCTTT